CCCTGAAGATTCTGTTTTGTAAATGCCTGGATGAACAAATGGTCCCCAGTGAATGGAAAGTGGCTTATGTGAGTCCTATCTTCAAGAAGGGCGATAGGCACTCCACGAACAACTATAGACCGGTGAGCCTGACCAGCATAATATATAAAGTACTTGAGAGTATTATCAGAGATGCAGCGATGGAACATCTACTACTAAACAACCTTGTAAAAGATTGCCAACACGGTTTTATGCCGGGGCGCTCTTGCTTGACACAATTGCTCAAGGTATTGGATATTTGGACCCATATTCTAGAACGGGGTGGTAATATCGACAATATTTACCTAGATTTTGCCGAGGCTTTCGACAGTGTACCCCACGAAAGGCTGAAAATCAAACTGGAAGGGTACGGAATTCGGGGAAATGTCCTAGCGTGGATAGAAGACTTTCTACATGACCGCAAGCAATGTGTGGTGATTAATGGCACGAAATCGTCATCTGTACCTGTAACAAGTGGGGTACCGCAGGGTAGTGTATTGGGCCAGCTGTTGTTTGTTTGTTTCATAAATGATATGCCTGACGTTGTACACTCCTCCATACAAATGTTTGCCGATGACGCCAAGTTATTTCGGGAAATTAAGAACCAAGCGGACTGTGAAGAGCTGCAGAAGGACCTCTGTAGGCTCCAGGAATGGTCGAAGGAATGGCTGCTGAGATTCAATGTCACGAAGTGTAAGAGGATGCACCTGGGGCGTACCAACGGTAAGGAGGCGTACCATATGTCCCAACGGGATGAAGAAAATGTACTAGTTGAGACTGTGTGTGAGAAGGACCTAAGTGTGTATGTTGACAATGAGCTGAAGTTCTCGGGCCATTGTGAGAAGAAGGTAAATCAGGCAAATAAATTATTGGGTCTTATAAGAAGGTCGTTCAGATATCTAGACGGTCCGTCCCTCGTGACGATCTTCAGGAGTGAAGTGCTTCCCCATCTGGAGTACTGTCACCCCATCTGGTCCCCGAGATATGCTAGGGACTGTCAGTTGGTTGAAAATGTTCAAAGGAGGGCCACCAAACTGGTGCCTGCACTTCGGCATCTCAGCTACCCTGAGAGATTGGAGCGCCTGAACTTGCCTAGCTTATACTACAGGCGGGCAAGGGGGGACCTAGTTGAGGTTTATAAGCATCTCAGGGGGCACTACTCAGTTGAGTGTCCTTACTTGGAGCTGGCGGACGCTCGCCCCACAAGGGGTCACAGCTCAAGATTGAAGAAGCCGCAAGTCCAGAAAACCGTGAGGGCAAACTTTTTCGGAGTGAGGGTTGTAAACTCTTGGAACAATCTACCAGAGAGTGTTGTGGCGGCACCGAGTGTGAGCTCTTTCAAGAGAAGACTTGACCAACACTGGAGGCGGGTTCAGGTACATTCAGGGCAGTGCATGCCCAGTATTTGCCAACAGTCTTAGTGACAGAGGCGTGACCCGATCGCCCGGAAGCTAAGCCGACCTTTTTGGTGAAAGAATATAAAAGAAAAAGAAGCGTGACCCGATCATGGCTGACTAACAAGCCGATCAGTGGCGAAGAGGATAAAAGTAAAAAGTAAAAGTTCTCCATAAGCCCTGTTATTTCTATTACACGAATTTCTATAACACGATGTTTTACAAGAACACTACTATCGCTTTATAGCAGAACTACCTGTATACCAAAATCACTATCACTATCACCAAGCATTCCTAGGATGTCCACGTGAGCACTGTCATCACTAAACACACGTTCAGGAATAATGTGCTCCTGAACCTATACCAGAAGGCCTGGCCTCACTCAACTCTTGCTCCAATATCGGGCAGATATTGCACAGCATTTTACACACCCGTGGATGAACAACATCATTGTTACGCCGAAAAGTTATCAAAAATAGCCATAGAAAGTATACTGAACCTCCTTATGCTATACAATGCACCAAAACTAACAAGGAGGCAGCATCTGGGCGCGCGGATTGGCCGAGGAGCTGTGACATAGCAAGGGGAAATCCATTGTGATTGGCTACCTCAGGGGTATGGTCCGAGGGAGGCGCGCTGTCATTGGCTCGCGCTCCTCTCGCTCTGAACGGGAAGTTGCCACCTTCTTTGACTGAGCGCACAGCCAGATACGTAGCTCCAGGCCTGAGGCAAAATCACGCCTAATTTTGAAGGACTTTCTACCATATTTCTATTCTAGCTAGAGCGTTACATCCAACGGGTGAAAATAGTGATATCCATCAAAAAACGCATTTTGGCCAGAGTGTCACTTCACCCCCCTCTAATGCTGAGCGCCTCAATTCTAGTGGGTTATGAGAAACATAACATCAATTCTAGTGTGTGATGAGAAACATATTTCTAGTGGGTGATAAGAAACACTACTTCAATTCTAGTGGGTGATGAGAAACATAGTTCTAGTGGGTGATGAAAAACACTACATTAGTTCTAGTGGGTGATGAGAAATACCATCAACAAGGCAGAGTGAAGCCATGTGTCATCTTCATAGACTTCTGTGTAATTTTTATCCTAACCTAACATAACTTTAACCAAACCTAGCATAACGTAACTTAAGATAGCATAGTCTAACTTAAGATGACCTGACCTAACACAACTTAACCCAGCTCAGTAATGCAGTGTTTCTCATCATCCAACTCATGTTTTTCATCACCCAGGTCAGTAAAGTTTCTCATCACCCAGTTCTCTAATGCAATGTTTGTGTTCATGTTTTACTAGAGCTGTAAAAATACCCAAAATAACAATGCTGCACTATACAGTTCAATACTATGCTTTGTCAGGTAATGGAAGCTGTGTGTGTAATGCTGGACCTCAAGCCAGAGAGGAAGCCAGACCCTAATGGCTCAGGAAAAATGATTGAGGACTATTGGGCACCATCTCAGAAGCTGTTGGGGGATATGAAGTTCCTCCAGAACCTGCTGCACTATGACAAAGAAAACATTCCCACAAAGATTATCACTCACGTCCGCAACGAGTAAGTTCAAACATTATTTCCGTGATATGGTATTCATTAGGTAATTCATCTTTGCCATTAAGTATGACCAAGACAGAGGCTATCAGAGTGGTGTCGAGACAGACAGACCGATATGAATAAACTCATACTATTGAACAAATAAAATGCTGTAAAAAATTATCAACATTACTACTGTCTCAGTACTGTACTAACATGTAGCTACCTGATGCTTGCACTCAAGAGTGTGCATGGTTATTCAGGACGGATTACATCTTGGAAAATTTTCTTGTTATACCAGTATATTTTCCTTCACCCAATGAAAATGTAAAATAACAGTTGAAAATCTTGGTTGCTGGAACAGTGCTGTTGAATATGGACGCCTTGAGAATGACACACACAGTAATAACTGTGTAAGTCACACTACCTTCTGTCACATTTAGAAATGACTGTTCTTCCACTTTAACCCTGAAACCTATTATAAACTCACAAAAAGTAAAGGAAATAAATGTTGAGACATTTTAAAATGTACTTATCCATTAATTTACTTATTCATGCATATGTATCTTATGCTCAGGTAAATACATACTATTGTTTCACAAGAAATCACAAAAAAATAAAATCCCTCTTTTATCTTTAAAGAAGACTTGAGTGACACATAAAACTGTGTGAGTACTGAAGTGGATGACTTAGGGACTTTCTACTTCCTGCCAGGTTCTACTCTCACCCGGATTTTGACCCAAAGAAGATACGTATGGTATCAATGGCTTGTGAGGGCCTCTGCCGATGGGTGAGGGCCATGGTTGTCTATGATCAAGTCATAAAGATTGTCGCCCCCAAGAAACATGCTTTGGAGGCTGCCAACCATGAACTGGCCCCCCAGAATGAAAGGCTAGAGGAAAAGAGGAAGGAACTCAGAGAGGTAATGTGTGAACCGAGAAAGATGTGTGAAATAAAAGACATTGCATGTAGAACCATTTCAACATATAGAATTACTGTATGGTAGACTTAGTCATCATTATATTATGAAGACTACTATTCCTTCTACAGTATATGTTCATCTACCTGCAATATGTGCATGAGTCTGCTCAGGTGTTGTGAAACAAAAGTTTTTTAGTTAACCCTTTACTTGTCATATTCCTAGATCCATGTACGTGAGTGACCATCTCTGAGCAGTCCATTACGTAGATCAATGAATTTGACTTTTTAAATTTCCCACAGCATCTGAAATGGTCCAGAAGGATTAATATATTTAAAATATGGCACATGGTAACCTCTCAAGACACATTAGCCTGTATCAGCAACCTCTGTCCCTCCAAAATGCTTTGTTTACTAACCCTACCACCACTACATCCATCCAGTCCCTCCCCAAGTTTGCTGCCCACATCACAGGCTAACAAATATGCCCAGAGACTTTCTCACGTATGCAAGAACACAGTGTTACTTGAAAAAGTGCACACAGATGCTAGGTATTGCAGCAGTGAGTGTGATCTGGTAGAATGTTCCAAGAGTTCACAACTCTCACTCCGAAAAAGTTTGCCCTCACAGTTTTCTGGACTTGCGGCTTCTTCAGTCTTGAGCTGTGACCCCTTGTTAGGCGAGCGTCTGCCAGCTCCAAGTAAGAACACTCGACTGAGTAGTACCCCTTGAGATGCTTATACTACACCTCAATTAGGTCACCCCTTACCCGTCTGTAGTACAGGTTGTACCTCTCTAGTCCGGCATTCTGTGGTCCAGAAACTCCCGTGGTCCGGAACGATTTTAGTTTGTCCAATAGGTAGATAGGCAGCTTTCTTTTTTTTTTTTCTTTTTCTTTTTTATCTGAATTATTATTATTACAGGAGTATTAAATTTTTGCCCCTCAGGCCCCAATGTGGGTCAGTGACTTATGCACAGGTGGGCTAATCTCCTTAAAAAAAAAAAACAAAGCCACGGGAAATTAAGGTTTGTTTACATCTGGCTGCTCTCTCTCTCTGTCTGCTTGTCTATACAGAGGACAACATTTAACCCTTCAATATATATGAGCAGTAAATAAGTGTTGCTTTCATATTCTTATGTAGAGTAATGAGATATGTTTTCACATGTGCGCACTTACATGCGCGCAGTCTCACTTTTTTTTTACCATTAATGGTTAGCTACTTATATTGTTCCATTTATTAACATTAAATAACATTACAGGTACTTCAAACAACCATATTAATTTTTTTACATTCATTTTACTACAGCTAAACTCAGGGTCTTATTTTCTTCAGTTTTATATGTAGAACCAATCAGTCACTGGTTTTGTAAGCTGTAACATAAACAATGCCGGCAGCCGTCTCGTCTCCTCTAATATTCCACGTATTATTAACAAATTGAATTGTTAATTTTGCACACACAAACATTACCGTATATCACGGCCTATAAGACGAAATTTGAACATTAAAAAAATCTGCCCAAAGTTAGGGGGTCGTCTAAACCACCAAGTTTAAAATTCTTACCTCTTAAATATTGTGGTTTAGTGTGTCAAAAGTGGTGATGAAAACATCGTAAGCCACTCACAAGGTCTTACCACTAATTATTTTATACTGAAACTTACGTTTGGCAAGCTGGATTCAAATTAAGATTACCGGTATATTAAAATAATAAAAATGTATTATAAACCTGTCTAACATACCGTAAAAGAGATTTATACCCCTATAATAAACACAGCTATCATCACACACCCCTCCCCACGCCCCCCCCCCCATTTGCCAGTGAGGAGCCGTGGAGGTGGTCAGTAATGCATACCGGTATCGGTATATTTACTCATAATAATATTTATCTCCTATAAATAATTGATTTAAATTTTATTTTTTTACAAAGAATATTCAGTAAATGAGTGCATTAATTCTTGAAACTATCGACAGTTAATTACAGACGCTCAAGTGACGTCACTAGTGTTTACACTACACCAGCTGGTAATATTTGATGCCATTACTTGAAGTGAATTGGCCTTATTTTAAGTAACTAACTATAAATAAATACAAAAATTAAAAAAAAAGATCAAAACTGAGAAATAATATACTGTATGTATGTTGTGTTGTCAAAGTAAGAGGAACAATTGTGTAAGTACGTAATATTTTTTCACTCAAATCCTAATGAAACACTACTGGAAAACATTCCTTTGTCGCAAAACAGTTTATAAATTAAAGAAAATAATTACAGTGTGTTTAATATATTACAGTATATTATAAATAAATAAATAAAACAAATAATTCGGTAAATCTATTTAAAGTAAATGGAAAATAAGCAAACATGTTATTTACCAAGACCCTTCCGTCTGGCTCAGGGTGAGATGGAGGGGAGATAAAGAAGGCTATTTATAGCCCATCAGAAGTGACCAGTACCCTAATGCACCATAAATAATTCATTGAACATTCATTTTTTGTACATAGTATATTCAGTATATATATATATATATATATATATATATATATATATATATATATATATATATATATATATATATATATATATATATATATATATATATATATATATATATATATATATATATATTTGTGTAATAAATGTATGTAGTAAGTACATACTGGTAACCTTTTTCACTCAAATCCTAATGAAACACCACAATTAGAATACGGTGGTTGCTGTTGAACCACATGTTGTATAAATAGTCACACCACCGAGACGAGGGAACACTCCCAACACGCTTCAGTGACGTCACTAGCGTTTACACTACACCAGCGGGTATAATTTGATGACATTACTTGAAGTGAATTGGCCTTATTTTAAAAAATCAAGGATGGTTGGTAAAGGACTACTGAGTCAGTGGGTAAGTGTCACATTTGGGGTACTGGTCTTATACAGCAAATAGAGCTCAAAAGCTACTTTTTAAATGGAAATTTGGGGGGGGCGTCTTATGCACCCCGCCGCCTTATAGGCCGTGATATACGGTAATTCAATAAAAGCAAATTCAGAAACATTAATTAAAATATATATGAACAGTAAATAAGTGTTGCTTTCATATTCTTATGTAAAGTAATGACGATATGTTTTCACGTGTGCGCATGCGCACCTACATACGCGATCTCTCTTTTTTCCTTACCATTATCGTTAGCTACTTCTATTGTTCCATTTATTAACATTAAATAACATTACTTAAAACAACCATATTAATTTGACTACAGGTACAACCAAAGTCTTATTTTCTTCAGTTTTATATGTAGAACCAGTCAGTCACTGGTTTTGTAATCAACGAAAACAATGCTGTGTCATTTCCTCATGTGTTTTAATATTCTACATATTATTAATGAATTGTATTGCTCAATTTGCACACGTAACATTAATTCAATAAAAAAGACATTCAGTCATGAACAATAATGAATCTTTTGTACATAAGAGGAATGACGCTGTTTACACGATTATGCACGTCGTCTGCACGTTGGCGGGCCGTTCAAACCCGTCGAAATTCAAGTTTCCGCCGTCAAAATTTTTATTTATTTATTTTTTGTGTGTTCCAATAAAATACGTTAAGAATTAAAAACTCGCAAAATTTGAGAAGCTACTATACGACATTTAACCCTTCAATATGTCTTCAAAGAGACCATGATGCAGAGAAAGTGGTACTAGTGCTTCCAAGCATAAGCACAAGTCACTATCTATGCAGGAAAAGGGTGAATTTCCATGGTCCAGCACCAGTCAGATCCCGAGGTTGCCAGACTAGAGAGGTATAACCTGTATAAGCTAGGCAAGTTCAGGCGCTCCATTCTCTCATGGTAGTTGAGGACAATCAAAATTCGGTTTAGCTCAACTTGCTGTGAAAGTGGGAAAAGCTGGAGATGAGGTGGCCTGTGAGATATCATGTTTCCATTGTTACATGTAATCGAAACTATATTAGTTGTGAAAAAATCATTACAATACTCTAGTGTGGCTTAGAAATAAAGAAAATATCATATAAAATTATGTAATAAGAAAAATGAAGAGCATGGGTTTGTATGTGTGGGCAGTGATGTCACAGCATACACACAGTGCAGCAGGCACGCACACATCTCTAAGTCAACTGAGTGAGTGCTCAGCTGGTTTGAGTGTGGAAGGAGCTGGGTTTTTTTTTACATAAAATATGTGCTTTTGTTTTATAATATGCTATTTATCAACTTTATTGTTTATCTTAAAAGATGTTGTAGTACAGTACATGTATGCAATTTGAATTTTTGTGTTAATAAATCCGTCGTTTAACTTTGAAACTATTCGTAATGAACTCATTTATTATTATTAGGGACTTCAGTCCTCGCTGTTTACTGCCATGACATTTAAACCTGTTGCTTGTCCTCCATGCTTCGATGTTATCCTCATTTAGTAATAATTTTTTTTTAATGTTAGATTTTTCAGGAATGCAACCCCACCTACTTTGCTGTCTCTCAGAATTGAGTATGATGAGTAGTAGTAAGTGATGGCTGTGCATGAGTTGATTTATGTGGTGAGGCAAGAGCACAGACTGCAACCACACACCATGGCTCTCCCTTGTCCTGGTCCAGTGGTGCAGGTAGTTGCAACGAATGGGGAGGAGAGTTGCAATGGACTGCCAATAGCCCAGTTTGTTGGGTTTTGCCTTATTAGCCTGTCCATTTTGCATTGCCTTCATCTGCTGGTGTAGTCGTTGGGTTCCCTTGTTGGTTATCTCTTCCACCTACACTGCCATTGGGGTCTTACTGGAGTTCTGTAAGCATGTCTCCGCTTCAGATTTTTCGCTTAGGGTTTACACCCGTAGTCTTATACCTACCAAGGTTAATCTGCAAGGCAGTGGTTAGTAGGCACCAGGACATGTCCACATGCCTGTGGGTCTATGTGCTGTCCCTCTGGGGCCCACTGCTGCTCCGAGATCCCCTGCTGGTCTAGCCTGGCCCCACGAGGCACCCAGTTATCATGTGTTGCCACGAGGAGGCACAGCAGGAGTTTTGATGGTGAAGAGGCTGTGTACTGGTAGGGGAAGACTTACAGAAGGTTGCTTCTTTGTTCGTCATCAGAGGTAGCCAGCGGCGGCAGCTGAAAGCGAGAGGTAGCAAACAGTGCTTGCACCTTAACACTAATATAATGCTGTCACACTAGATGCATTACACCACCCTGTGTGCACACACACACACACACTTTTAAATGAGGGATACTTGTACAGTATCAGACTACAGGTACAATTTACTGACATAAATTGTAGATACTTTTAAATACAGTAATACCCCGATTTACGCGGTCAATTGAACCAGCGGAGGAGCACGTAAAACGAGAAACGCGTAAAGTGAACAACAGAACATATGGGATTAATTGAAATAGAGACCGGGCCGACTCCCAAACTACACTTTTTCAGACACAATACCTACGTTGTAGTAAAAATAACATCTTAATTTTATGATGGTATGCACACAATTAAGAGAAATATCAATAATATTAGGTTTTTAACACTTACATTAGTAGAAAAGATGGCTGGGCACACGGGGATGGGGGGTTGGTTCCGAGGCAGAGGGCAGATTATTGGCCCTCACCTGTATCACTTGTATCAATTATATCACTATCCACCACAGAGGCTTGCAGGGCCTCTTTGTCAAACCCCTCAAAGTCCATATCCTCACTATCACTGACTTGGGCCGGCTGTGGTGGGTGGCGGGTGAAGAACTCGGTAATGTTTTGATGACTGGGCAGCCTTGTGCGCACCCTGCCCGCGCCGCATTCCGGTTCTGGCGGGGTACCACGTAAATGTGGAAACGCGTAAACGAGAACTGCGTAAACCAGGTATTACTGTACAGTGGTCCCTCGGTTAACGAGCACAATCCGTTCTAGAAGGTTGCTCGTTAACCGCTTGTTTCAATGGTTTTTGGGTAATTGGTTCCAGCTCACGAAATTACAAATTCAACAAAAAAGGTAAAAAGTACACTTACTTTGAGGTGTGTATGTAGAAGGCTCGATGATGATGATGATGATGATGATGGGAATTAGAATGGGGGTGGAGGAGAAGGGAGAAGAGAAGGAATTGGGGTGGAAGAGAAGTCACCCCATGGCGCCATTTCACCCATAAAATTTTAGTTCTCTTGGTGTAATTCAAGATTATTTTCTTTAAATCAACACTGCACTGCATCATATATTGTCAATATGTAAAATAAATTTCAAAATGACCAACAATTTGCCTGTAAACACAGAAAAAAAGCGTTTAGTTGAAGAGTCTCTCAAGCAAGATGTTACCTCCACTGAAAAGACACAGATTGACGCCTGTATGCTGTGTTGGCAGGCTGGATGGCGTGCCACAAACTAGTGACCCTACCTTCAATTATGTTCAATAATTGTTTATATAACTAAAAAAAATTAATATTAAACTTTTAAAATTATTGAATAGTATAAACTTCTTGATATTTACTAAAAGGGTAAGGAATTTGAGCCCTAGAACCGATTACTGTATTGGCGGACTAATACTACAGCTGGTGGACCGCCAAATGCAAGCTAAAACATGTGGAGGTCGGCTCGTAAGATACTCGTTAATCGAGGGATTGCTCGTTAACCGAAGTTAAGAATCTTATGGAAGGTAACTCGTTAACCGAAATCTCGTTAACCGAGGCGCTCGATAACCGAGGGACCACTGTATACTTTTCAAGCTAACTTAAAGATGCTTGACAAAGTATATGTGAAGCTCATAAAAGTGTTAGAATAATGTTTCATATAGTTGGCATTATATGGGATTCAGGTCTACTAAGCATAAATTTTGAGTAGACTGATATAATAATATGATAAAGAACTCACTCAAGAGGCCTATGCTGTGCTTGTTTGTCTTACTACCTTATTATGCATTCCTTCAGGCTAAAGTTCTTCCAGCGGTGGGCGGACGAGAAAATCCCCGACGTATTCTGGTTTTCTGGGCTGTTCTTCCCCTACTCCTTCCTCACGGGCATACGTCAGAACTATGCCAGGAAACATGCCATACCCATCGACAGGATTGACTTCCTGTTTAAGGTTACTACTTTTATATCTAGTACCATATTATGTTTATAATGTAATTATTTGTATGGTAATATTACAAACAAACAAGTGCCTAGTTTGTAAGGTTCAAAGACTGGACAAGCACCACAATGAACATCTTGACACTTATTCTTCTTTATTAATTAACTTTCAATTATCACAGTAGCCATCATCAGTGCAATCTATAGAAAAGAATCAACAATGATAAGATAAAACAAGACACATGACTGTTATAATATTAAAAAAATTAAACTATTAAATCAAAAGACAAATTCAAATCATGACTGGAGACTAGTTGAAAAGTGTAGTGAAGTTAAATGCAGTTATAATAACAACAATTTTAAAAATACACAATGAAACTAAAACAAATATATTATGCTAAATTGGAAAAATCGCTTACTTATTTACCTAATGACCACCCACAAGAAGTAGCTATGACAAGGGAAGGAGGCCAGTGGCCTGTGTAGGATCCCTCCAGTGTTCATGTTAATTTTGTAGGGGGTTATTTGAAGCCCAGTACTGTTCATGATTCTACAGCTTGGGCTGGTAGACCATTCCAGGTCTCACCATCTGTGTGAAGAAGTATTTCCTGATATTTGTTCTGCAAGATAGTTTGACGAGTTTGTAATTATCTCCTTTCAGGATATTGTATATTTTAATGAAATCTTCCATATTGTGCCTTGTCTGAAAGGTCTACTGAACTTGGATAATCGAGATGATATACAGTAGTTCTGGAATCATCTTGATTGCTTGTGCTGGACCTTTTCTAGGGATGTTATATCTTTCTGGAGGTAGGGTTTCCATGCTTGTACGCAGTAATCCAGACTGGGACATACTTGAGAGTTGTATAGTTCAAGGAGAATTTTTCTATCATTACCTGTATATTCAAAGGTACATTTATAATTCCCAAATCTCAATTTGCTTTTCTCACTGCTGGAGTTACTTGTTGTGCCACCTTCATTGAATGACTTATCACAACACCAAGATCTTTCTCCTTATTGACAGAATCCAGGAAAGTGTGAAGGGACTTGCATTTTGTAATGTTAAAGACCATTTGCCAGTCTCAAGTCCATTTGAACAGCTCATGTGGGTAATTTTTGCCTTGTTGTGACATGTTCTTGACTTCTTTGACACCATTTGTCATTGGGTAAAGACAAAGGTGGCCAATCTAACTATCCAAAAAGGTGGAGGTAAAAATAAACTTACATTTGTTTTAGTGCAATATTACTCAGTGCCTACCAAGGGCAGACACATGATGACAATACTGCTCCTGCATGCCTACTACAGCTGTCACATGATGACAATACTGCTCCTGCATGCCTACTACAGCTGTCACATGATGACAATACTGCCCCTGTATGCCTACTACAGCAAACACATATTGACAATACTGTACTGCCCCTGTATGCCTACCACAGCAGATGATATAGCTACCATAGCAATATATGTTCATTCAAGCCTTTTCTCAATGTAATGCCTGAAACCAGAATCAAGATCAGACACACACACAGGTTCTCTCAGAAATTGGATGTCATTCATGAATTCTTATTACAGTATCAGATGTGTTCTATTATGGTACTTCCCTTCAACCATCAAGTCCCAAATTTCTATCTGGTTTACCCGTCACTAAAAATCTAGCATCACCCACCAGCAGCAGCAGCATATGCTTCCCCAAATATCACTCACTGACATGCTCTCTAGTCATTTATGTACATTGCTGCTTCAGTAAAGTACAGTACTGTAAATTATATAAAATTTAATCTCATTTATCATAGGTTGTGTAATAATTTTGTACTGACAGCATACTCACTGTATACTCCATATGCATTTACACCAACAGGTAATGGAAAAGGAGGTGGAAGATATCATCCAGGAATGTATCAGACCCAACTTCGTGGAGTTGCCAGTGGTGATCGAGCGGCTGCCCACGCCAAATGTGCAGGGGCAGTACTACCCCCTCGACACTGACCTCGAAGACAACGAATCGCTTCCTTACGATAACGACTCCCCCCAGCTCAAGAAGGAGGGTGACCAGGTAACAAAATGCAGAAACAGATATCAAATGCCAGGCTAATAACTTTAGTACAGGGATTGAAGGAAGGAAGGAAGGGAAAGTAAGTAATAAATCAGAGAGAGAGAGAGAGATATAAACCAGATTAAGTGGAAGGGAGTATTCAGGAAAGGATGAAGAGTAGAGTCAGGTAAACTAAAAGGCTGTCTTGGTAAGAATTGGACTATGAGGATGGTGAAGACAGAATGGGAAATGAAAGATTAGTTATCAAAAGAGAACCACATAACAGAGAGGGAAGAGCTTGATAAATAATGAAGGAAGAGAGACCAGGTACAAGCAGAAATAGATAAGGAAGGATGACAAGATAACAAGTGGTAGAAGGATGAAGAAGGAACTGAATAAGGAGGGAAAAGGTAGCAAGATCATGAAAGGAGAAGGATAAATCTTACCAAGATGACAGGTATGCTAATAGACAAAGGAAAATGGCATACCCTATATTCAAACAGGGTGATTAACACGGCTCAAACAATTAAGGTGCAGCCTTCTGGAGTCATCCTACTTCCAGAAAAAATAAATAGAAGTTGGAAGTTACACAAGCCCCATCTGTACAAGCAGCCTAAATAATTGTGGCTATCTTGTCATCAGATTTACTACCTCACTTACTGTTACATACTACAGGTACTCCTCTACTTACGAACGTGTTACGTTCCTGAGGCTTGCTTGTAAGTCCATCTTTGCTCTTGTAGATACCAAATATATTGTAAAAAATGAAAATATTATGGATATATAGTACAGCTATACCCTTTAATACAGCTTTAAAACCTGGCTCACTCTTCTCCTCTTAGGTAATGTTTGTTCTATCTGGAATTTTCTTCAAAATAGTCCAGTCTCATCCACATTAAACACCTGTTCTGGCAGGTAACCCCCCCTCAGTGATGGTGTTTGTATCTCTGAAAGTTTGTAAGTTGAATGTTCTTAAGTAGAGGAGCACCTGTACAGTAATATCATTGTAATGCATTATTTTAAGAAAAATGGTACCAACCAATCATGTGTTATGGCTTTAGTTTTGTTGGAACCTGAACCCTTTTCTGGTTACTAACTGGACTGTAATCAATCCAAAACACTCAATGGTATGAACATAACACTGAAGCACTAAGATTTCAGTATCATATGTTTTTTGCTACAAAATACATACAGAGATATCACACATTTTATAGTAAGCATTCCAAAACACTTACCCGGTAATGATACACACATTAACACTTGATCCATACTTGGTCGGGTTCTGGAATGTTAAATGTCACCCCTGGTCGTCTAAAAATTTGGGGGAGGACTTAAAAGATGCAATTTGGTATATGAAACTTTAGAACAACACTAATTTTGGCTGTACTCACCATTTTGGAGTTTGCAGGATGGGAAGTATGAAGCATAGGGTTTGTGGCTGTGTGGCATAAATTACCATGTTGCTACATCGTCATGTTTTCTACTCGTGGATTTATATCTTCACTGTTCCACTCACCTAATTTTATCACTTTTTTAACTTATGTATGTCTAATTTATTCATAACAGTGATTAGAGATACAGTTTTATTGCTTCACACTAACATTATTTACATTATGAACTGGCACTAGCGCATCTGACTGCGTATTACTACTCACACACACACCTGACCCTGCAAAATAAAGCAATTTTTTTTCTAAAAACCTAAGTATGTAAATGCCTAGCATTAACTCACCAGGCCAACATACAGGCAATTAAAACATCTAATAATTACTTAAATACGTAATATTAGGAGGACACGTCGCTACCTGGCATTTAATAGCAGATTTCGTTGTCTTAAGCAAGCCAAATGGTGAAATGATCATATAGGATGACCTGCCTGTAGCAGGTGTTGCTAAATGTCATTCTCCTTTCCCTACATGAAGGAGGGATTGTACACACACTGTTTGCTGTACTGTACATACACTCTCTACATACTAGCATACACTGACCACTCTGCTATATGTACTACTGTACATATGGTACTTTCACTTTCTGAATGTACAGTACTGTACTTTACAGTGTGCATGAATATAATTACTTTTTACATCTTAATTAACACTATTTAAATGGTAGTCTTGGCTGATTATATGCTGGTACAGTACTGCACAACACAGTTTGTGAGCAAACAAGCTACTACTCTCATGATGCTAGAGTTTGAGGAGATAGACTGCAAGATACATCAGCCAATTTTAGGCATCCCATGCAGTCATATGACAGTACAGGTACAGAGTAGTAGCCAATCATAGCTCACGAACATTTTGAGTCTACCCACCCATATGCTCGGCACATGCCGATGCACGATGCAATTTTTCGGAAATTTGTTTGAATGCCCAGAACGGAGAGATTTTTCTTGGAGTGCTCAAAAAAATAAAATAAATTTCAGGGTAAAGGAAAGCCTTGAATTACGATGATTCATATTTAAAACCCTGGTTAGTTTAAGACCTGGTTCAAGTTACATAGTTATTTTACAGGTATCTCTTACGTTACAGAAACTCAGGTTGCGGAAATTCGCCCATAGTACTCATTTTGTAAATTATGACCTCTATATTTGGGATATAACCTGCAATTAAATGCCAGGTAGCGACGTGTCCTAATATTATGTATTAAGTAATTATTATTTGTTTTAATTGCCTATATGTTGGCTTGGCGAGTTATTGCTAGGCATTAACATACGTAGGTATAAAGCTAGATGTTGCATTCTGGACTATATCACAAAAACTGCTTTTTTAGAAAAAAAAAAGGTTTTTTTTATGGTCATTTGCCCACCCGGGCACAGGTAATTTTTAATGACCCACATCAAGGCCTAGGGGGGGGGGGATATAATAAATTAATAATAATAAAAATTATAAATACTGTAATAATAATAGAACCATAAATAAAAAAATAAAAATAATTAAAAAAATATTGAGAGTGAGAAATGATATATGTATGTTGTGTTGTCAAAATAAGAAAACAATTGAAACCCTGGGATAAATTATAAAAAATTTCAACACAAAAATTGTGATATAGAACAAAAAATGTTTTACAGAAATTATAATTTATTAAGGCTGAAAATCAAACTGGAAGGGTACGGAATTCTGGGAAATGTCCTAGTGTAGATAGATGACCTTCTACATGACCGCAAGCAGTGTGTGGTGATTAATGGCACGAAATCATCATCTGTACCTGTCACAAGTGGGGTACCACAGGGCAGTGTACTGGGCCTGCTGTTGTTTGTTTCATAAATGACATGCCTGACATTGTACACTCCTACATACAAATGTTTGCCGATGACGCCAAGTTATTTCAGGAAAGCAAGAACCAAGCAGACTGTGAAGAGCTGCAGAAGGACCTCTGTGGGCTCCGAGAATGGTTGAAGAAATGGCTGCTGAAATTCAATGTCACGAAGTGTAAGAGGATGCACCTGGGGCGTACCAACGGTAAGGAGGCGTATCATATGTCCCAACGGGATGAAGAAACTGCACTATTTGAGACTGAATGTGAGAAGGACCTAGGTGTGTATGTTGACAATGAGCTAAAGTTCTCGGGCCATTGCGAGGAGAAGGTAAATCAGGCAAATAAATTATTGGATCTTATAAGAAGGTCGTTAAGATATCTAGACATTCCGTCCCTCGTAACGATCTTCAAGAGTGAAGTGCTTCCCCATCTGGAGTACTGTCACCCTGTCTGGTCCCCGAGATATGCTACGGACTGTCAGTTGATTGAAAATGTTTAAAGGAGGGCCACCAGACTGGTGCCTGCACTTCGGCACCTCAGCTACCCTGAGTGATTGGAGCGCCTGAACTGCCTAGCTTATACTACAGACGGGCAAGGGGAGACCTAATTGAGGTGTATAAACCTCTCAGGGGGCACTAAGTCGAGTGTCCTTACTTGGAGCTGGCAGATCAGTTCACAAGGGGTCACAGCTCAAGATTGAAGAAGCCGCAAGTCCAGAAAACTGTGAGGGCAAACTTTTTCGGAGTGAGAGTTGTTAACTCTTGGAACAATCTACCAGAAAGTGTTGTGATGGCACAGAGTGTGAGCTCTTTCTAGACAAGACTTGACCAACACTGGAGCAGGTTCAGGTACATTCAGGGGCTGGTGCATGCCCAGTACTTGCCAACAGTGCGTAACAGAGACGTGACCGATCGCCAAAGCGGCTAACGAGCCGATCAGTGGTGAAGAGGATAAAAGAAAAGGGAAAGTAACAGAGACGTGACCGATCACCCAAGCGGCTAACGAGCCAATCAGTGGTGAAGAGGATAAAAGTAAAATAAGTTAAATGTGCCTTGATTAGTGACTCGGTTCAGCTGTGATCTGGTCTTCAACCCCATCCCTCACTACCCGTTACCTTTTATGTAGGCCAACAATTTTTTTTCTTCACTTTCCAGACGGTGAAAGTCCCAACTGAACAGCAGGAAAAGGAAGACAACGAGAATGACTCACAGAGCCAAAGTCATGAATCTGATGACGTCATCTACCAGGTCATCCCTCGCCAAGCACAGGGAGGCACCTACACATGGGTTAGTAGGATGATAGATTAGAAAATAATATTAGAATAGAATAAGTAGGGGTTCAGGGGTTGGGCTCTTAATAATAAGGGTAGGGTTGATTGCTAGATAAATTTTTCCCAATAGTATTAGCAGATAGTCGAGCTTTACACAGTAACACACCTTGGATAAAACTCATTGGTTACGATATTGCCACTGCGCAAAGCTGGGAGAGGATTTAGATATTTAAGCTATACACCTAATAAGCAGGACAAAGACAAGTGAGGGCATCTTTGTTAGAATACCAGGCAAGTGAGGTTGCCTGGGCAGGTATATTATAGGTCAGGTAAAATAACCAAGATCAGTATGCATGATATGTCAAACAGTCAATTGGGTTATACCCATGTCATTCCAGTATGACAGACAAAGCAGTATGGCAGAAGAGTTTTCTACACCCAACATGCAGCCCCTTAATACCAATGTGCTCTTGTGCAGGGCTTCTTCCTGGAAGGTGCACGCTGGGATCGTGAACAACATTGCTTGGCGGAGATGTCAGCCAAGCAGCTACATGACCAGTTACCTATCATCCTTTTCCAACCTGCTGCCCTCCCAGACATGTCACACCATGAGGGTATGTGCCCCCAACACACCTTCTCTTTACTCATTCCTTTACCTTGCCCTACATGTTCAATTTAATTTTCTTTATCACTGAGTCAGACCAGGTATTCTCATCAAGGTGATTTAACCATATCATTGGTTAAGATTTTATGGGTACCTGAAAATTGCTCCATGTCAAAAGTAATGATATGTCAGTATACTATTTACAAAATGAAATTTGGTTTATGTACTTTATAATAAAACCTAGATTTCAAACTATTTGAAACTATTGAATGGATATAACCTAGAATACAGTAGACAATTTTTTTCTGCAAATTGTTAAATGACTGGATTATTTTTATACACCAGTTATTCCTGTTCTCAGTGGATTTAAATGTAAATTAAGTGGTATACGTATATGTTTTAGTTTATATCGGCAAATATATCTTGGTGACAACTTTATTCACAGCAAAAAGAAAATCTTTACTCCTTTAGATTTTGAGATAAGACTACTGGTATGGTATGTCAAATTTTAAATAAATCATATTGATATTTAATACACTTAGTGGAGCTTACCAAAAATAAACACTCGTGACTTCTTTGCATGAAACACGAAGGGAATGTTCATTACAAGTGAACATAAAATTAAAATAATTTTTGAGCAGTTTGTTAAGATACTGTCATTAGTTACATAACCAAAATCTTTTGAAGGAATATGTAACCAAGAACTTATAACTTATGATTCACAAATTTTGATGAGTCTGAGATGTTAATGACATTTCTGCTAACTGATGTTTTATTTAGATTAGCCACACTCGTATATTGTCCTGAACTTATTTGCACAAAAATACATCACTCAGATACTGAAGTAGAATGATTCAGCTTAGTGAATACCAACAAACTCTCGATAATCTGGACTAATTGGAAGAAAGTTGATTCATAAACTACTTATTTTTATACATCATCAAATTGCCTGAAGATTTTCATAGCGTTGTCTGCAGGTGTGAGCTGTAAATATGAAGACCAGGCAGAAGAGAAAGGCATGTACCACTGCCCTGTGTACCGCACCAGCGAGCGGAGTGGCACACTCTCCACCACAGGACATTCCTCCAATTATATCCTTGATTTGATCCTGCCTTCCTCCCTCCCATGCCACCACTGGGTCAGTCGTGCAGCAGCAGCCCTTACCCAATTAGATGACTGAACCCCATGTATTTATCAGCAAGTCATCTTCAACTAACTGAATGACTGAAGATCATTTGCATACGTCACCCAACTGAATGGTCTATACTCTACTATGAATGAGCTGGATGACTGAACTCCATCTACATGCCACCATTTCTCAGTTGGATAAGTGAACATCATCTTAATTTGTAATCACTCAGAAGGATGAGAACTTCGTAACACATTACTACCATCCAGTTGGAAGCCAAACCAACATCCACACCATATGACAACAGACTGGCTAACCTAAAGTAAACCATATCTTCTCCAACTAAATCTAACTTTCTATATATTCCTAAACAAGGTGTCATGAACATTTTAAGGCATATTTTGTATCAGAGACAGAATATTGGCAATTTTCCTTGGCACTAGAATCAGACTTTGCCATGAAGCTTGTTGGTGTGATCAAACTACTTAACACTATATTACCTAAAACATATGCATTGTACATGCATAAAGAACTAATGTAATGCTGTATACATAATGTAATGGATCCACATGGTAATTTTCTGCCAAAACTTTTCACTACTATTGCCTGACCTGCCAAGGTGTGGTGTGTGTTCTTGTGCAGCGGACAAAGAAAAATGTTTTTTATCTTGTGCCTTGTCAGTTTTTCTGAAAACATTGAAATAATTCACAGATAAAGAGAATGATACGATACTAAGAGTAATTATCAGAACAGAACAGAACAGACCATGCCATTTAAGAGAGAGAGATGGCATTGGAAAGGTTATGCCTCCCAAATCCCAACCAGCAACTAAAATGAACTGAATCACAGATCTTTAGGCAATAGCTGCATGGGAAGGATGCATGCCCAAGTCACAGCTGAATGGCTGGGACTAGTGCACTGTCTTCAAATGCCCTGAGAGCACAACATCGCTAACAAAAACCAACAATATTGTACTACCACAAACACTTACAAAACTGTACCACCAACAGCAATAAAAAATAATAATGCCATTACCACCAATATATATATATATATATATATATATATATATATATATATATATATATATATATATATATATATATATATATATATATATATATATATATATATATATATATATATATATATATATATATATATATATATATATATATATATATATATATATATATATATATATATATATTTTTTTTTTTTTTTTTTTTTTCATGTAAATCCACAATGAAAACGTGGATAAGATAAATCTTGATAAAATCACACGGGAAAATGGAAACAACGGAGTACCTTAGCTTTCGTCTTTATTCAAGACATCTTCAGAGGCAACTGGATTACATGGACAGAGAGAGGCTTAAATATACAGGGTGACCTAAAAACATGAGGTCAGGTCAAAATGATGACATCCACTAATCCCCACACCAACAGTTCAAAACTGATAATATGTTACATAAATTTATTTGTCAGTGGCCCAAGGTTAAAAATGCTTTGAAAACCTTTGATCTAGATGTATGATAGTTATTTTGTGGGTCCCTTTTTTCTGACCTGACTTGGCTAGTCACGTCACCACCCTTCTCTTAAGCTCCTCTACGTGTGTGTTGGTGTGGGGATTAGTGGATGTCATCATTTTGACCTGACCTCATGTTTTTAGGTCACCCTGTATATTTAAGCCTCTCTCTGTCCATGTAATCCAGTTGCCTCTGAAGATGTCTTGAATAAAGACGAAAGCTAAGGTACTCCGTTGTTTCCATTTTCCCGTGTGATTTTATCAAGATATATATATATATATATATATATATATATATATATATATATATATATATATATATATATATATATATATATATATATATATATATATACACACATACAGTGAACCCTCACTTTACGCGGTTAATTCAACCCACAGGGTACCGCGGAAAGTGAGAAACCTGTAAAGTGAACAACATAACATATGGGATTAATTGAAATAGAGACCGGGCCGACCCCCAAACTCCACTTTTTGACGACACACAACTATGTTGTAGTAAAAATATTATCTTAAATTTATGATGGTATGCACACACAATTAATATAGAAGAGGTTAGGTTAGGAAAAATAAAGGTTAGGTTAGGAAAAATAAAGGTTAAGTTAGGAAAAATAAAGGTTGGGGTTAACACTTACGTTAGTAGAAGAGATGGGTCGGCGTATGGGAATGGAGGCTGGTTCCGAGGGAGAGGGCAGGCTACTGGCCCTCAGGTGAGTCACCATCACTGTCATCCACACTTGTCAGGGCCTCCCTGACAAATCCCTCAAAGTCATCATCACTGTCTCTACCTCTGTCAATATCACTGGCTTGGGCTGGCTGTGGTGGGTTGCAGGCGAAGAACTCTGTTATGCTTTGCTGACGGCTGGTTTTTATGTTGTCGTGATAAACCTTGATGTACGGCTCCATAGTCTGCAACAGCTGGGTAGTGAAGATTTCATACCTGTTTGCGTCAGGGTCGTCGGAAAGGAGGAGCTTGGCTTTCTCGACACACTCGATGGCACCCCTAACATTACTATGGGATAAGCGGCGTTCTTCTTGGGATGACGCACCACCTGCCTCTTCACTGACGTCATCATCATCTACCATGTCGTCGGTAGTCACATCAGGATCCCTTATCACCTCCAGGATGTCGTCGTTGGTGGTCTCGGAGAACCCTGCAGCTGTAACACTCTGCGCAGCTTCTCTGGCAAGGTCCACTGCTACTGCAACAGTCTGAACCTCACCAGTCACAGATTGACTCTGCCTAACGCCCAGAATGCCTTGCAACACGTCTCCATGCGTGACGAACAGTTGCTACAGACAGCTGATCCCATGCCTCCACCAAGAAGCCCACTGCTTTCTTGACGTTGAATATTCTCCAGAATTGTTTTAAAAGTACTTCGCTCTTGCTATCGGTGTTGGTGTCACTCAGGTTACGCAATTCTTCCCTGGTGTTGGTGTAGTCGTTCAGGAGCTTGAATTTTTTAGTAGAGAATGCAGCTTTTACATTACAGATTAACTCTTGGTCCGTGGGCTGTAATATAGACGTAGTGTTGGGAGGAAGGAAGACCACTTTTACGTTGGGGTGACGATCTAACAGTAGGGGCGAGTGTCCTGGTGCGTTGTCCAGCAGCAACAAAATCTTGAATGGCGCATTCTGTTGCTCACAGAATTTCTTCACATCGGGAACGAAACAGTCATCAAACCAGGAGAGGGACAGTGTAGAGAACATCCACACCTTACGTGCGATCAGCCAGTGGACATTTAGCTTGGTCATGTCCATGCTCTTGTAGGCGTGCGGCTTGCGTGCTGTGTGGATCACCGATAACTTGAGCTTACAGGTACCGGAGGCATTGGTGGTAAACAGGACGGTGATGCGCTCCTTCTGCAACTTCCGACCCCGACACTTGCTGGCATTCTTCACAACGAAGGTCTTGGAGGGTAGTTTTTTCCAAAAAAGACCAGATTCGTCCATGTTAAACACCTGGTCGTCGGTGTACTGTCCTTCCTCCATAATCTCTCGTAAAAACGGAGGAAATTCCCTAGCCGTAACACGGTCAGCACTAGCTTCTTCACCACCAATGTTTATATTGGTGATCTTGTTTCTCTTCTTAAACCTCTGTAACCACCCAGAGGAAACATTAAAGGGTTTGGGCTCTGTAATTCCCATCTTTCTTGACACTGCAGCATACAGTTCACGTGCGTACTCCTTAACTGAGCGCGTGTCCACCGCCATGTTCCGTCGCGCCTGACGCACCAAGTAGCTCACAAGTAATTTTTCCGTCTTGAGAAGCACCTGGTTGTGGAAATACTTGATCATAGAAGCACCTGTAGACTTTGTGATGTTCATGTGCTT